AGTTTATTTAGGTACAGGTATACATAATATAGGTAGTAGGTTGGTAGACAGCAACCGCCCAGGGAGGTACTACCGTCCTGCCAAGTGAGTGTAAAACGGAAGCTTGTAATTGTTTTACATGATGGTAGGATTGCTGGTGTCCATTTTTCTGTCTCATAAACATACAAGATTTCAGGTATGTCTTGCTACTTCTACTTACACTTAGGTCACACTACACATACATGTACAAGCATATATACACACACACCTCTGGGTTTTCTAATATTTTCTTACTAGTTCTTGTTCTTGTTGTTTATTTTCTCTTACCTCCATGGGAAAGTGGAACAGAATTCTTCCTCCGTAAGCCATGCGTGTTGTAGGAGGCAACTAAAATGCCGGGAGCAAGGGGCTAGTAACCTCTTCTCCTGTATATATTACTAAATGTAAAAGGAGAAACTTTCGTTTTTCCTTTTGGGCCACCCCGCCTCGGTGGGATACGGCCGGTGTGTTGAAAGAAAGAAAGAAAGGTATACATAAGTATAATTATCAGAGTATATATAAAATATATAGGTAGTAAGTTGGTAGACAGCAACCACCCAGGGAGGTACTACCATTCTGCCAAGTGAGTGTAAAACGAAAGCCTGTAATTGTTTTACATGATGGTAGGATTGCTGGTGTCTTTTGTCTGTCTCATCTTGCTACTTCTACTTACACTTAGGTCACACTAAACATACATGTACATGTTTATTTATACACACTCATCTGAGTTTTCTTTGATTTTATCGTAGTTCTTGTTCTAATTACTTTTCCTTTTATATCCATGGAGAAGTGGAATAAGAATCTTTCCTCCGTAAGCCATGCATGTTCTAAAAGTCAACTAAAATGCTGGGAACAATGGGCTAGTAACCGCTTTTCCTGTAAAAATTACTAAAAAGAATAAGAATAAAATTGTCAAAGTGGAACGTTTGAATGTGCGTGGATGTTGTGCGAATGATAAGAAAGAGATGATTGTGGATGTTATGAATGAGAAGAAACTGGATATCCTGGCTTTAAGTGAAACAAAGCTGAAGGGGGTGGGTGAGTTTCAGTGGAGAGGAATAAATGGGATTAGGTCAGGGGTTTCTAACAGAGTTAGAGCTAAAGAAGGAGTAGCAATAATGTTGAAGGATAGGCATGAAAAGAGGGACTATAAATGTATTAATTCAAGGATTATGTGGAGTAAAATAAAGGTTGGATGTGAGAAGTGGGTTATAGTAAGCATTTATGCACCTGGGGAAGAGAGAAGTACAGAGGAGAGAGAGAGAGATTTTGGGAAATGTTGAGTAATTGTGTGGGGAGTTTTGAACCAAGTGTGAGAGTACTTGTGGTTGGGGATTTTAATGCTAAAGTGGGAAAAAATGTTGTGGAGGGAGTAGTAGGTAAATTTGGGGTGCCAGGGGTAAATGAAAATGGGGAGCCTTTAATTGAGGGTAAATGAAAATGGGGAGCCTTTAATTGAGTTATGTGTAGAAAGAGGTTTGGTAATAAGTAATACATATTTTATGAAAAAGAGGATAAATAAATATACAAGGTATGATGTAACATGTAATGAAAGTAGTTTGTTAGATTATGTATTGGTGGATAAAAGGTTGATGGGTAGGCTCCAGGATGTACACGTTTATAGAGGGGCAACTGATATATCAGATCATTATCTAGTTGTAGCTACAGTTAGAGTAAGAGGTAGATGGGATAAGAGGAAAATGGCAACAACAAGTAAGAGGGAGGTGAATGTGTATAAACTAAGGGAGGAGGAAGTTCGGGTGAAATATAAGCAACTATTGGCAGAAAGGTGGGCTGGTGCAGGTATAAGTAGTGAGGGGGTTGAAGAGGGTTGGAAAAGTTTTAAAAATGCAGTATTAGAATGTGGGGCAGACATTTGTGGTTATAGGAGGGTGGGGGCAGGAGGAAAGAGGAGTGATTGGTGGAATGATGAAGTAAGGGGTGTGATAAAAGAGAAAAAGGTAGCTTATGAGAGGTATTTACAAAGCAGAAGCATTATAAGAAGAGTAGAGTATATGGAGAGTAAAAGAAAGGTGAAGAGAGTGGTGAGAGAGTGCAGAAGGAGAGCGGATGATAGAGTGGGAGAGGTAATGTCAAGGAATTTTAATGAAAATAAGAAAAAAAAATTGGAGTGAGTTTAAACAAGTTAAGAAAGCCTAGGTTAAAAACAAAGAAGGGGAGTTAGTAGATGGGGAGATGGAGATTTTGGGTAGATGGTGAGAATATTTTAAGGAACTTTTAAATGTCGATGAAGAAAGGGAGGCAGTAATTTCATGCACTGGCCAGGGAGGTATATCATCTTTTAGGAGTGAAGAAGAGCAGGATGTGAGTGTGGGGGAGGTGCGTGACGCATTACGTAGAATGAAATGGGGTAAAGCAGCTTGAACTGATGGGATCATGACAGAAATGTTAAAAGCAGGGGAAGACATAGTGTTGGAGTGGTTGGTATTTTTGTTTAATAAATGTATGAAAGAGGGGAAGGTACCTAGGGATTGGTGGAGAGCGTGTATAGTCCCTTTATATAAAGGGAAGGGGGACAAAAGAGATTGTAAAAATTATAGAGGAATAAAGTTTACTGAGTATACCAGGAAACATTACACAAATAACCCGCACATAAAAGACAGAAGTTTACGACGACGTTTCGGTCCGACTTGGACCATTGACAAAGTCACACTAACAGAGGAGGAGCAGGACGGCTATATATAGGCAGGAAGAGGTGGAGGTAGTAGTAGTGGTAGTAGTAGTAGTAGTAGTAGTAGTACAAGAATTGTATATAATACCGACAGGATGAAATGACACATGCACAACACCCGGTGGGGATGCCCGGGTGTTGTGCATGTGTCATTTCATCCTGTCGGTATTATATACAATTCTTGTACTACTACTACTACTACTACTACTACCACTACTACTACCTCCACCTCTTCCTGCCTATATATAGCCGTCCTGCTCCTCCTCTGTTAGTGTGACTTTGTCAATGGTCCAAGTCGGACCGAAACGTCGTCGTAAACTTCTGTCTTTTATGTGCGGGTTATTTGTGTATCGTTCCAGTCACGGTATTGTGCCTTTTTGTTATTTATACCAGGAAAAGTGTATGGTAGGGTTATTATTGAAAGAATTAGAGGTAAGACAGAATGTAGAATTGCGAATAAGCAAGGAGGTTTTGGAGTGGGTAGGGGATGTGTAGATCAAGTGTTTACATTGAAGCATATATGTGAATAGTATTTAGATAAAGGTAGGGAAGTTTTTATTGCATTTATGGATTTAGAAAAGGCATATGATAGAGTGGATAGAGGAGCAAAGTGGCAGATGTTGCAAGTATATGGAATAGGTGGTAAGTTATTAAATGCTGTAAAGAGTTTTTATGAGGATAGTGAGGCTCAGGTTAGGGTGTGTAGAAGAGAGGGAGACTACTTCCCGGTAAAAGTAGGTCTTAGACAGGGATGTGAAATATCACCATGGTTGTTTAACCCGTAAACGGTCCAAGCAGATCTACGTTCACATGTGTAGTGCTACAAAAGTAGATCTACTTTTTTTTTTACATATTTTCAAATATTACAAAAAAAAAAAAAAAGTAGATCAAAGTTTTTTTACACATTTTCAAATGTAAAAAAACAAAAAGAAGATCTACTTTTTTTACATACTTTCAAATGTTGAAAAAAACGTATATATACGTTTGGACCATTTACGGGTTAATATATTTATAGACGGGGTTGTAAAAGAAGTAAATGCTAGGGTGTTCGGGAGAGGGGTGGGATTAAATTATGGGGAATTAAATATAAAATGGGAAGTGACATAGTTACTTTTTGCTGATGATACTGTGCTTATGGGAGATTCTAATGAAAAATTGCAAAGTTTAGTGGACGAATTTGGGAATGTGTGTAAAGGTTGAAAGTTGAAAGTGAACATAGAAAAGAGTAAGGTAATGAGAATATCAAATGATTTAGATAAAGAAAAACTGGATATCAAATTGGGGAGGAGGAGTATGGAAGAAGTGAATGTTTTCAGATATTTGGGAGTTAAGGTGTCAGCGGATGGATTTAAGAAGGATGAGGTTAATCATAGAATTGATGAAGGAAAAAAGGTGAGTGGTACATTGAGGTATATGTGGAGGCAAAAAATGTTATCTATGGAGGCAAAGAAGGGAATGTATGAAAGTATAGTAGTACCAACACTCTTATATGGGTGTGAAGCTTGGGTTGTAAATGCTGCAGCAAGGAGGCAGTGGAGATGTCCTGTCTAAGAGCAATGTGTGGTGTAAATATTATGCAGAAAATTCAGAGTGTGGAAATTAGGAGAAGGTGTGGAGTTAATAAAAGTATTAGTCAGAAGGCTAAGAGGGTTTGTCGAGGTGGTTTGGTCATTTAGAGAGAATGGATCAAAGTAGAATGACATGGAGAGCGTATAAATCTGTAGGAGAAGGAAGGCAGGGTAGGGGTCGTCCTCGAAAAGGTTGGAGGGAGGGGGTAAAGGAGGTGTTGTGGGGGAGGGGTTTGGACTTCCAGCAAGAGTGCGTGAGCGTGTTAGATAGGAGTAAATGGAGACAAATGGTATTTGGGACCTGACGATCTGTTGGAGTGTGAGCAGGGTAATATTTAGTGAAGGGATTCAGGGAAACCGGTTATTTTATATAACCGGACTTGAGTCCTGGAAATGGAAGTACAGTGCCTGCACTCTAATGGAGGGGTTTGGGATATTGGCAGTTTGGAGAGATATATTGTGTATTTTTATACATATATACTTCTAAACTGTTGTATTCTGGGCACCTCTGCAAAAACAGTGATTATGTGTGAGTGAGGTGAAAGTGTTGAATGATGATGAAAGTATTTTCTTTTTGGGGATTTTCTTTCTCTTTGGGTCACCCTGCCTCGGTGGGAGACGGCAGACTTGTTGAAAAAAAAAAAAATATACATGTGTAAGCAATACAGAGCTCCTTTAAGAGATGTAACTGTACCTGCAACCATGTATGAATAATAACTTACTGCTTGGTTCTCCATGCGAGTGAAGATGATGTTGATCATCTGAGTAAGAGCAGCTTTTGCAGTGACCTGATTGTTCATGTCTTTCGATGCCAAGAATATATTGTAGCAGGTTCGTACTGCCACCAATACAGTACCTTCATGGACACTAACGTACTGAGAGGTGATCACCGTTAACAGGGCCTGAGGTGTGAAAACATATTAAAACAATATATGGAAGAAACATAAGGCATTAGTGCAAAATTATAGTTGGCTATGATAGCACCATAACCAAAAATTAATATTTTGCAAAGCGAGTAAAAATCAGATGCAATTAATATCCTTGCCAATGTAGTCTGACAGTGCATGTAAGCTTTGTAGCTTATGTCTTTGATATACCTATATGAGTTATGAGTCTTTCTACAGTGAATTTCCTTAACCCTTTGACTGTCGCAAGCCCCTTTCTGAAACTGTCATTCTATGTCTCAAAATTTTTGAAAAAAAAAAAATATTTTTTCTTATGAAATGATAGAGAATCTTTTCCCGATGGTAATGATACCAAAAGTTTGAAATTTGGTCAAAAACTCACGGAATTACACTACCGCAAAGTTAGTGGTCTCGGCGACATATGCGTATTGGCAATTTCGCCGACTTTGAGCCCTGTTTTTAGCCAATTCCGTTGTTCCAGTTGACCAAACTCATAGCTATTTCTTTAGAACTCCATTTTATCTATCAGTTGAGTACAAGAAACTGCCCATTTACCGATTTGAACTACCCAATAAAGTGGTCAGAAATTGGCAATTTGGCCAATTTCACACAAATCAAAAAAGATGTCAATTTCAAAATAGGGTCCAGAATAAACAAGGTAGACATTCTTGGCACTAAAATAACATATCCTCTGTTAATTAATCACATCTCTAGGCCCCTCTTATATTACTTATTGCTTTCTATTTTGATTTTTTATTCATACAAAAAAAATACAAAATTTACTGGTATGCAGACTACTGCATTATTGTAAAAATAATATCAGTGCACTAGTGAAAGAATATTAGACTCCCCAGTTGACGTGTATTGGATGTGTGGTGTGATTTGCTTACTACTGAACACTGGTAAAAATCGAACATTTCCGCTACTTTGAGCTCAGTTTCAAGGTCGTTTTCATCGCGAAAGTAATGAAAACCATCTCCATTTCTGTAATATGTTTTCCATTTTATCACCTAAGACCATGAAAACGAGAATACAACGATAAATACTATACGAAAATACACCTCAAAGTCGGCGTTTTAATCCAAAAAAACGGTCAGTTTTTTTTTCTCATTATGCACTGTGTGCTGCAGAATTTCTTTTATGTGGTGCACACTGACCACACAGACCCATTCTCTCACATGTGGGCCTACCAGGTTTCTCCTGCTTGATTTGAAGCCGCTAGAATTTATGAGCATACATACGTCAGAAACAGTGGCCCATAAGACGTATTTATACGGCGTAAACAGTCAAAGGGTTAAGCTAGTCTTAACGAAGTTGAAATAACCTGAACTTACAGTATTTTATTTAGTGTTTTAGCACCTGATAGCAATATTTAGTTAAGCTTGTGTCATACCTCCAGCCCATTCTGGCCTACGGAGTGACACTCAAGAGTAACATTAACAACTTCAGCCCGTACCTAGCCTATCACTGCGATACTTCCTCAATTTATCTAAATTTTTAAAAAATGGTTTGTATATACATACCTTGATTATCTGAATTTCTACATCCTTATCCGTAGTGGAACCATTAAAACAATTGCAAATTGTTTCAACAATGTGGTCGATCAACCGTTTGTTGGGATTACTTGGGTCAGCACAGTTTCCAGTTAAATGCCCATAAGCAATAAGTTTCTGTTCAAAATAAATAATAATGAGTATCTTCAAAAATTATTAAAGATATTTGTATGACCATGAACTTAGCAAAAATATTTAAAAATATAAAAACACACATAATAATCACAACTGAAAACCTTGAAACAAAATAAATTCTTATTAATGTTGGAATAAACCCATAAAAGACAGACACAGAATGTGAGAAGCTGAATATTGTACTGTGATCTCCAACTGAAATCCTCTTCTGATCTGCTGGAGAGCTCAGCTGCAAATCAAAATATACAGCTCTTTATATTTTGTATTTGTTTACTATGGGTTTACTCTTATTACTACACAATAAAATGAAATTCTAACACTATGTGAAAGTAGAAATCAAAATACAAAAAGTGTAATAAACACTGGTCAATGACACAAAGAAATCAATATAGAAATAAGATGCCAGATTAGAGAAGTGTTGAATATTTCAGCTTCACCCTCAGGCCCTTTTCAGTCTCATGATGAAGACCTCAGTGAGAGACTGAAATATACAATACAAATTTTTTTTCAACCTAATCAGCCATCTACCAAAGTAGAATGACCCATAAATAGGCAACACATTCAACATGATTCACTTAATCATTGTCTTGTCAGAAGTGTGTTGACATCGTAATTCAGATGACTCACTGAACTGCAGCATCCCAACCCTTCCTTCAAAAATATTAATAGCATTATTTTGTTTCCATATTGGTTTATTTGTTCCAAGACATCAAACCTTTAAACTGCATGATGCAACTGTTAACTTCATAATGCTACTTTAAATTGAATGATGCGACTGTAAACTGCATGATGCTACTTTAAACTGCATGCTGCAACTGTAAAGTTTATGATGCTACTTTACACTACATGATGCAACTGTAAACTGCAGGATGCAACTGTAAACTGCAGGATGATACTGCATTACCTCAGTCACATATAGACTATAAAAGATTAACTTCCAAGAAAGGTGACTGCTCTAATTTTATATATTTTTATGTCACTAAACAAACACTGGAAATACTTTAGGAAACCAATAATTGCTCCAGCCAGCATAGCCATGCATTAGCCAATGAATAAGAAATACCATAAATATCTAAACTGAGAGAAGTTTAACAAAACATCTAAATTTGTATTAATGATCTTCATAAAGTTTGGAATGGTTCTTTATTTAGTATATCCAACTCTTTGGTTATCTCTATTATTTATTTATTTTTTAACACACTGGCTGTCTCCCACCGAGGCAGGGTAACCCAAAAAAAGAAGAAATGTAAAGTTTTTCTTCTTTATACATTTATTAATTTATGCAGGAGGAGTTGCTAGCCCCTTACTCCCGGCATTTTAGTCACCACTTGTGACACGTATGGCTTATGTCTAGTGTTATGGAGGAAGGATTCTTCCGCACTCTCCCATAGAGAATACTCTATTATGATATATGTACACACGATAAATACTGTATGACGTCTCAATGCATAATGAACATAAAACTCATCAATAAAGAATACGTACTTGAATGCAATCAAGTGCTGACACTACAATCTTTGCTGACTTAGACTGACAAGCTAGTTCAAATGGAAGGAAATGTTTCTCAGCATCCAACTGTGGAGCATCACTCTTGGGCATTGGCAGAGCAGCAGATGCACCCATACCCGAGCCATTGTCTGGCCCTCCAAGCTCGCTGCGCAATTCCTCTGTTGGTGGAAAACAAAGTCTAATGTTATTTATTTCTTTCATTAAAATTACGATAGTATATAAGAAAACAGACACACGTAGCAGAGCAAGACTTTACTGGGACAACGTTCAAGTCATGACAAAGTAACACAATGTTCTAATAAAGGTTTATTTTCTTACACATCTTTTGTCTCCATTCCCAGCAGGAATATGCTCTTCAATCAAGACATGTCTAGTGTATGTTTCAAAAGTACATGTTATGGTAAAATGTGCTTAAACTTGGGATTTTTTATGAACTTTTCATATTTCATTAAAAATAAGTGATACTGTATTTGTACTCACAAAAAAATTGCAGTTACATTATCAATGTCCTCTTTTATGCAGTACATGCATCCTAGACCCATGGCACCTGTACTTATCTCAGTCAGGTCATAAAAACACATAACTTCTCATTAGAATCTGAATAGGTTTAGCAAATCATACATGCCATATGGACAATGTATTGTGTATCACACACATAGAATTACCAATAAAAACTGGACTGCATAATAGCAAATCCACATAAGGAAACCCACTCATTATATATTATAGGTCCGCTATCACAAGTTCGGGAATCAGACATCCGGTTCCATCAGTTATTCGGCACTAATTCTGGCTAGATTAATTTCAAATTTCCAAGGTCGCCACACCAACCTGCTGGTACTGTTTGGTGGCACTATTTGCTGCACAAGTCATTCCAATTTCTTTTTCTCCATTTACTGTTATAACCTGCTTACTTTTAGCCATGGTTCCAAGGAATAAAAGAAATGCTGCTTGTTGTGTAAAGCACCTACCAACAGTGGCTTGGAAGCCACTGTCAGTAGATATGAGCTCAGTCTCGTGATGCAGGGGAATATGCTTTATTATTACGCTAATATCAATACTACGGCTTATTTGCTTATCACAATTGATCTAATATGACATAATAAACAATATAAATAACATAGAAACATGTTAAATACTCCAGAATGAATAATATTTGGCATAATACCGAGCAGTTCGATGAAGAGGATATGGGATACAAGTACCATTCTCCTATCCCTGCCTTGGGGGCTTATATTAGAGAAAACAGAGTATAGCACAGGGCTAACTGTGATATACACTCATACTGCACCATAAAACTGGAACAAAAAAGCTATTTTCTCTACACAGATTATCACATATAGCAGCATATGTATACAGAACCTAAGATAACCCAAAAAAGTCAGATAAAGTGGCTTATTTCTAGTACCTGGCTTGGGTTAGCCTTATGTGATTTTTGGTAAATATTCGATTCCCAGCCAGGGTAGAAACATTTGGCGTGTTTCTTTACACCTGTTGTCTATGTTCACCCATCAATAAACGGGTACCTGGGTGCTAGTGAACTGGTGTGGGTCTTATCCTGGGACACTAACCTAATTTGCCTGAAATGCTTAGCATAACAAGGGGCTTTCTATACAGCAGTATGTCACTGATGGCAGATAGGCCTGTATACCCTGTACATGTAAGTGTAGTAAATAAAGACATTATTATTATTATTATTATTATTTTTCTCTCAGTTGTTTGTTGAGCTATCTTAATTAAACTTGGGCAAAGTTTGATGGAAAGATGCTTCTCAATGTACACCAAAAATGAAAGAAATCAGACCATAAATAACAGAGTTCACTTCTCAGCTATTAGTGGCCCCATAGCAGTATATTTTCGAGCTGTTTTTATGGTTGTACTCTCGTTCTTTTGGTCTCATTTGATAGAATGGAAGATATATTACAAAAATAGATATGATTCTGATTGCTTTCATGATGAAAAGTACCTTGAAATTGCGCACACAGTAGCGGATATGTTCGATTCTTTAGCGATATTCAAGAGTAAACAAATGACGTCACCGTCTAATATGTGTCTGCCTGCCAGTCCAAATTCCAATACGCAGTCAAGAATGGGTTGACATTATTTATACAATTATTACAATAATGCAGTAGTCTGCATAACAGTACATCTTCTATTTTTTGTGTGAATAAAAATTCCAAATGGTAAGCAAGAGTAATATATGAGGGGCCTGGAGCTGTGACTAATAAACAGAGAAAATGTTAATTTAGTGCCAGGAATGTCTGCATTGTTTATTCTGTACCCTATTTTGAAATTGGCATGTTGAAATTTGTGTGAAATTGGCCAAATTGCCAATTTCTGACCACTTTATTGGGTAGTTGAAATAGGTGAATGGGCAGTTTCTTGTACTCAGTCAACAGAATAGAAGTATATAAGTTTATTCAGGTATACACAAATACAGTTACATAGATTATCATACATAGCAGCATATGTATAGAGAACCTAGGATATCCCAAAAAAGTCAAAGTGACTTATTTCCAGTACCTGGCTTTGGCCTGCCATATATGATTTATGGTAAATATTTTTTTTTCTCAGTTGTTTGTTGGGCTATCTTATTGAAACTTGGGCAATGTGTGATGGAAAGGTGCTTCTTAACATACACCAAAAATAAAAAAAAAAATAAAAAAAAAAAACAGACGATAAATAAGGGAGTTCACTTCTCAGTCATCAGCTGCCTGTTTGCGGTATATTTTCATGTGGTGTTTATGGTTGTATTCTCGTTTTTTTGGTCTCATTTGATAGAATGGAAGATACATTACAGAAATAGACATGATTTTGATTGGTTTCATGATGAAAAGTACCTTGAAATAGAGCTCAAAGTAGCAGAAATGTTCGATTTTTGCCAATGTTCAATGAACTTTGTGTAAGTCAAGTTAGTTAATTTTATTAAGTGTATTCTAACCTAACCACTCTGCAATCCAGCGCACTACAGGTCCCACTGATGCCGGATTTGTGATGGAGGACCTGTATTCCGTTTACTTAATGATTTCCAATATGGCACTTATTTAGGAATTAACTTTAGCATAATACACATAAAATTCAGAGACAGATCAGAAATGAACAAGAAACAACCAGTAATTACACAAATGTTACTTGAAAATAAGAAAATCTTCATCAAGTCCACATGCAATCATCATCTGCTCTCTGTCCCTAACATGGAGGAAGGGAAAACAGGAGAGGAGTTTAATCACTGAAGGGTGCAATTCCATCCATAATTTGACAAGATGAGTGTGTGGTAACTGGCAATTAAGAAAAAGGCTGACCTACTGGGGCCTATTATGCTAAGATGCCTTTCCTAGATCCAGAAAGATAACTTATTGCCATGACTGGTGGCAAGAACTTGTCAAAAGACATTAAGGTGACTCAAGTACAATCCTTTACCAGCATCAAGGGACCATCTTTTGAAGGAAGGACAACTTTAATTCCTTGAAAGAAGAGATCTCTTCACCATCATCAAGGTACCCTTTGAAAGAAGAGAGGGCAGGAGTTCACAAAAGAATGTCTGATAATGAATTAGACTGCACTGAAAGGCTTTAAAACATGGCAATTACCAAGAGCTTGTTCCACAGCCTTTTTCAGCTGGGAGTGATGTGACTTGCGGATTTCCTTCTCTCCATAAATTTTTTGTAAGGCCCGAAGCATAAACATCCTGGCGGAGGGTGCCGAGTTCATTCTACTGCATCCTGAAATAAAAATCATTAAGTTGAAAGGTAAGGTTATTATTCAATTTCAAAATTATGAGTAGGGGAGTACAATCAAAGTAACTCAACTACAGCTTATTTACAACATTATCATTACATTATTCTATTCATGTGGAATTCCTGAATTCATAAGGGTTATACAACACCCAAGGAATAGGAGATAACCAGATTTGATCCAAGGAAGTGGAGGGTAGTTCCAATTCCTTGGATTAAGAGTGCTTCAACATCATAGAACCTCCATCCTTTTGAAGGGTCAATTATAAATAAAGCATTAGTAGAACATATGTAGTATTCAGCCAAAGCCGCAAGAAATTTTTCTTACAAAGACATCAGTTAAGTCAATCAATGGAACCAGTTTTTTTAGGGTATAGATATACGTATCTCGATGGCAAGTTATTAAAGAATTGTAATATTCAATATACTGTTTTATCAATGCTGGGAACAATTATGACTGCCTGTAGTCTTTGCACTTAAAAAGCTTAGAAAAAAAGGTTAGTTGTTGGATCTGGAGAGAAGTAACAAGCAAAGCTCTTCCAAGGATCAGTTCTTGGCACACATCAGCAACTTACCTGGACTCATAATTGTTGTGTGTACAATATATACTGTTGATGGATACTAAATGTGTGAAGCTGTGGATTGTATAAAAGAAAGAGAGGAAGAGCAAAAAGATGAGGACAGAACAAAAAGATGAGGACAGAACAAAACCAGAAAGATTAACCATGTTGCATTCCAGCTACTCCCAACTCACTCATTCCTTCCAAGTAACAAGCCCCTCCTCTAATCTTGCCTCCAGTAATCAACAACAATTCCATAAAACATGCCTTCTCATCCTCATCCTGCCCTGCCACCCCAGAAAACCCACCCAATACCAAGCAACCCATGACACCTCAACCCCATCCACTAACTCTGCTGACACTGACAGACAATCCAGCTCCCTGCTACACCCCACATCGAACTCTTATACTACACAAATGTGGATTAACTGAAGTAGAAAATAAATAACGGTAACCCAGATATGATAGTACTTATCATGGTAATTATAACAATTACAATGATTTTAATTACTGTTATTACAGGTCCACATCCCTTTATCCGAAATTCGAAAATTCGAAAAGTTCCGAAAACAAAAGTTTTTTAGTGGAGTGTGGAGCGTCAGTCATCTCCGCGTTGGGTCACGCCGCCATGTGGCGGCATTGAGAATCATTCTGAAATTCAAAACAATACAGGCCCCAAGGGTTTTGGATAAAGGGATGTGCACCTGTACTTTCATGGGGAAGGGCTAAACCCACAGAGACCATAAAAAAACCTGGGGAAAGTAATCAGGTTTGATCTGTGGAATGGGAGGATAGCTCCAATTCCTTGAATCCAAACCCTTCATCATCATGGAACAGCTTCCCCTTGAAGGAGCAATGATGCTAAGTACTTTAATACAGAAAGGCAGATCAGAGAGAGGCAGAGGGAAAGTGTCATCAAAGGAAACTCAGATGTGAGTGCAGCATCACATTGCCCTAGGTTAACAGACTGTGTATTGGAAACTATCACAACAAAATAATTACTACTTAAAGGATATATAATAAAATCAAACAAATGCTGTATAGACTGGTAATTAATCTCAAGTTTAATCTTCAGGAGCAAAATGCTCAGCCATCTACATAACTACAAAAGTAACCAACAAATTTTATTTTTATTTTATTTAATTTTATTATAAGCACTAAACCCATGTGGGTCATTCAGTGAAAGACATGGAGGAGGCTTGATCATCCTCCTGTAGAGCCCAATACATACACACTTCCTATTTGTACTTACCCATATTCCCCAACAATGTACAGTGGACCCCCGCATAACGATGGCATCGCATAGCGATTTTTCCGCATAACGATTACTTTTATCGCAAAATTTTTGCCCCGCATACCGATTAAAAACCCGCATACCGATTTTCGTCCGAGACGCGTCCAATGTGCCCTCACATGTGCCGGCCGTCCCATTGTTTACCAGCCAGCCTCCGCGGTAACATCCAAGCATACACTCGGAATATTTCATATTATTACAGTGTTTTCGGTGCTGTTTGTGGAAAATAAGTGACCATGGGCCCCAAGAAAGCTTCTAGTGCCAACCCTGTGGTAAAAAGGGTGGGAATTAGTATGGAAATTAAGAAAGATTTTGAAGGGTTTGGGGCTAACCCTGAGAAGCCTATGCCAGTTGTGGAATCCATTGTGCCTACTTCAAAGATTAAGGAAATGTGTGCAGAGTGGGTTGAACTGCAAACCTTTATAGATGAAAATCACCCTGACACAGCTGTTGCAAGCCGTGCTTGTGACTATTTCAATGACAATGTTATGGCCCATTTTAGGAAAGTCTTGAAGGAACGGGAGGTACAGAGCTCTATGGACAGATTTGTTGTGCGACAGAGGTCCAGTGACTCTCAAGCTGGTCCTAGTGGCATTAAAAGAAGAAGGGAAGTAACCCCAGAAAAGGACTTGCTACCTCAAGTCCTAATGGAAGGGGATTCCCCTTCTAAACAGTAAGAAGATAATGCTCTCCCCTCCTCCCATCCCATCAATCATCACCAGATCTTCAATAAAAGTAAGTGTCATGTAATTGTGCATGCCTTTTTCAGTTTGTGTGTATTAAAATTAACATTTCATGTGGTAAAAAAAAATTTTTTTCATACTTTTGGGCGTCTTGCACGGATTAATTTTATTTCCATTATTTCTTATGGGGAAAATTGATTCGCATAACGATTATTTCGCATAACGATGAGCCCTCTTGCACGGATTAAAATCGTTAACCGGGGGTCCACTGTATAATAAGAGACTGGGTTTCCAAAGGAACTTGACCAGGTTATGCTACAATGAAATTAATCAGATTACACAAACTAAATTATTAATAAGATATAATAGCATTTTCCATGTTCAAAAGCTGATTAGTTTCATGAAGAGAAATCATAACATTCTAATTCACATCACTGCACAATAATGTCAAATTACATATGAAACAGTTGTGATGTGAACTAAACTATATACTGCACCAAACTAAAGAACAAAAAAAAAAAAAAATACCATGATTGGGACAATACACAAAGAGTCAGCATACTGGAGAGAGAGGAGCTTACGACGATGTTTCTGTCTGACTAAGACCATTTATGACTCACGAAATCGTAATGACACAATCACAAACAAACCACAGTATGGGTGGGGATTGAATTTGTGGCAAGCGAGTTGTAAAACTCCAGGCCAGAGCATAAGCCACTGGACCAGCTGACTACAATAAGATTTATCCAACTAGGTATATTTATACACCATAGGAAGTTTTGCATGGGTCCCACTGTGACCACAAATGAAAGCTTTTACAGGAGCTTCATCTGTAAAAACTTGCATTTGTGGTCACAGTGGGACCCATGCTAACCTCCCCATGGTGTATCACTATACCTAGCTGGACGAATCTTATTGTAGCCAGATGCCCCAGTGGTTCATGCACTGGCCTGGAGTTTTGCGACTCACTTGCTGCAAATTCAATCCCCACCCGTATCGTGGTTTGGACCATATACAGTCACATTAACACAAAAGCATGAGGGAGCCAATATACATAAGCAAGAAGGAAAGGGACAGTCCCATACCTACCCCCCTTCCTATATATATAAGCTCCCTCACTTTTTAGTGTTAGTGACTTTGTAAATGGTCCAAGTCGGACTGAAACATCATGACAAGCTTTTCTCTCCTATGTGCGGGTTATTTGTTTGTGTATAACAAAGTGAGATTCAAGTCAGAGATATGTTCTGTTAGCCTTAAGCCTATATAACATAATAAAAATTCTCCAAAGCATAAAAAAAACAATGGATAAAATGGTAATTGAAAAATGGTGCAAAGTATATGAAAAACACAAAAAACTATATAACCCAGTACAATAAAATGCAAATGTGTTAACATCAGGCAGCACATACATATACAGTGACATACAGTACTGAATACTGTTGAATGAATGAGCGAGATACTAATTAATCGCCCTAAAACAATAAAAGAAGAGCATATGTAAATTTTTGAAGCATTGGGCAAGAATTTAGCATCTGATTTAAAAGCAATAAATACGTACTGTAATAACCATCCTATACAATAACAAAATACTGATCCACAAAAGCTCCAACAAAGCTAAAGCTAATAACTGAGCAAAAAAAAAAAAAAATACATTAAGGGCAGTAAATATAAAAAAAATAGGTACTTGAAAGTGATGTATAAGAGAGAGAAAAGCGACAGCCATACCTTGGAAAGATGGCTCCGTCATTCTGGAGCCCAAAAGAGAAGAAAAGGGAAATGAGCCGAGTATTATCTGTGCTTCTAATCAAAGCAGAGATTACATTCTTCTTCTTACGTAAGGGTATAAGGTCTGCAACAATAAAATAAGATTGCCAACTTATAAGAATGTTGCTACAAAGAAGAACAATCTAAGAGCAAGGGAACTTAAAAGTTTTAATGGCAAAATAAGAACATAAAAGGTACTACTGCAGTGTAGCAAACATCTCAAGACTAACTGGGTATGACTGACTTTTTTTTTTTTTTACTGCTTATTTACTAGTACAGTACTAGTTACTGTCATGAGTTGCCAAAACAAATCTTCCTCCAACAGCAGTATAATTTAATAAAACACAAAAAATCATCACATACTGTACTGGCATGAAAAGTACAACAAAATATTCACATGAAAAATCACATTTAAATTCTGACTGATAATTTTACAGCGGTATTAACCCTTTGAGGGTTTTCGTCGTACTAGTACGTCTTACGCGTAGGGGTTTTTGACGTACTAGTACTCATAAATTCTAGCGACCTCAAATCTAGTGGGAGAAAGCTGGTAGGCCTTCATATGAAAGAATGGGTCTATGTGGTCAGTGTGCACAGTCTAAAAAAAATCCTGCAGCACACAGTGCATAATGAGAAAAAAAAAACTTTTTCCATTTTTTTTTAATAAATCAGCGACTTTGCAGTGTATTTTCGTATGGTATTTATTGTTGTATTCTAGTTTTCTTGGTCTCATTTTATAGAATGGAAGACATATTACTGAAATTGAGATGATTTTGACTGGTTTTACAATGAAAGGTGCCTTGAAATTGAGCTCAAAGTAGCAGAAATGTTCGATTTTTACCAAACTTCAAAAGTAAAACAAATCGTGCCAAGCGTGCAATACATGTCAACTGGTGAGTCTAATATTCTTTCACAAGTGCACCAATAATATTTATACTATTTTTTACACTAATGCAGTAGTCTGCATAACAGTAAATCTTATATTTTTTGTGAGAATAAAAATTCAAAGTGGAAAGCAAAAGAATATAAGAGGGGCCTTGAGACGTGACTAATGACTAGAGGAAATGTCATTTTAGTGCCAGGAATGTCTTTCTTGTTTATTCTGGACCCTATTCCGAAATTGGCATCTTTTGAAATTTGTGTGAAATTGGCAAAATTGCTAAATTCTGACCACTGTACTGGATAGTTGAATTTATAAATGGGTGGTTTCTTGCACCCATTCGATAGAAAAAAATGGAGTTCTAGCGAAATATTCATGTTTTTTGTCGACTAGTACAGTGAAATTGGCCGAAAATGGGGCTCAAAGTGGGCAAAATCGCCGATCCGTAAACATCGCCGAGACCGCTAACTTTGCGAGAGCATAATTCCGTAAGTTTTCTATCAAATTTCAAACTTTTGGTGTCGTTATGATCGGGAAAAGATTCTCTATCTTTTCATAAGAGAAAATAATTTTTTTTTTTTTTTAATTTGGCCGACCCTGAGAACGAGTTTCGGAGAGGGCCTGTCGACCCTCAAAGGGTTAAAGATTGTATCGAGAGGGCTGAGGAGGGTTGTTGAGGTGGTTTGGACATTCAGAGAGGATGCAGAAAAACACGATAACTTAGAGGGTGTATAATCAATACAAGACATGTATATTCTCTAATTATCACATACAGCATACTAAAATGGATGCATATTTATTAAAATTTTAAATGTTTGTGCTTAGCAGTATTCTAGTTACCAAAAAGTAAATACTTTCAATAAAATGTAATATATTAAATTCTTCTAAAACAACAGCATACATTGTATTCAGCTTCATTTGTAATAACCATCAATGCTAATATCACATGCACTATTTATTAAGAATACAAAATAAAGACTCTATAAAAATATTAAATTTTTCATGTAATGCATTATATCTACATATCAAGCTTATTTCAAATAGTGTTAATACTGTACTGTCTTTAAAATATGTTAATTCACTTTATGTGGATTCACTATTATGTGATGTCCAATTTCTATGGGTTTGAAAATGTATTAAGAACATAAGAACATAAGAACGAAGGAACACTGCAGAAGGCCTACTGGCCCATGCGAGGCAGGTCCAAGTCTCCTACCGGCTTAAGCCAATGCACCCAACCTAGTCAGGTCAGGTCACATTGACTTAAGGGAGGAACACGGCAACCGACCTGGTAGCACAAGCTATCAGGTCTAACTCACACCCACCCACATCTACTCATGTATTTATCCAACCTATTTTTAAAGCTACACAACGTTCTGGCCTCTATAACGGTACTTGGGAGTTTGTTCCACTCATCCACAACTCTATTACCAAACCAGTACTTTCCTATATCCCTCCTGAATCTGAATTTTTCCAACTTAAAACCATTGCTGCGAGTCCTGTCTAGGCTAGATATTTTCAGCACACTATTTATATCCCCTTTATTTATTCCTGTCTTCCATTTTATACACCTCAATCATATCCCCCCTAATTCTAAAGTCTTTCTAGAGAGTGCAGTTTCAGGGCCCTTAGTCTATCCTCATAGGGAAGGTTTCTGATACATGGGATCATCTTTGTCATCCTCCTTTGTACATTTTCCAGAGAATTTATATCCATTCTGTAATACGGTGACCAAAACTGTGCAGCATAATCTAACTGAGGCCTAACCAAGGATGTATAGAGTTGAAGAACAACCTGAGGACTCCTATTATTTATGCTTCTTGATATGAAGCCAAGGATTCTATTAGCTTTATTGCGAACACTTATGCACTGTTGTCTTGGTTTCAGATTACTGCTAACCAGAACTCCTAAATCTTTTTCGCAATCCGTAATATTAAGATCTACATTATTTAGTTTATATGTGGCATGGTTATTGTCCCGTCCAACATTTAGAACTTTGCATTTGTCTATATTAAACTGCATCTGCCACTTCTCCGACCACTGCATCAGTCTATTCAAATCTTCCTGGAGTGCTCGAATGTCCTCGTCAGAATGAATTCGACGGCCTATTTTGGTGTCATCGGCAAACTTGCCGATGTCGCTCTTTATGCCCTCATCTATGTCGTTTATGTAGATTGTGAACAGCAGGGGGCCCAACACTGACCCTGTGGAACACCGCTCGTGACGCTTCCCCACTCTGATTTCTCCCCATTTATGCAAACTCTCTGCTGCCTATTTGTCAACCATGCCTCTATCCAGGAAAAAATTTCTCCTCCTATTCCATGTGCTTTAATTTTCCTCAATAGTCTCTGATGTGGGACCCTGTCAAAAGCCTTACTGAAGTCCATATACACAATATCATATTCATTACCATGATCTACCTCCTCAAATACCTTAGTGAAAAAAGTTAATAAATTCGTAAGGCAGGAACGCCCCTTTGTAAAACCATGCTGAGATTCGTTGATTAATTTATGCTTTTCAAGGTGGCTACGAACTGCCTCGGCAATTATTGATTCCATAAATTTTCCCACTATGGAGGTTAGGCTTATTGGTCTATAGTTCGAAGCTAAGGACCTGTCACCTGTTTTGAAAATAGGTATCACATTTGCCATTTTCCACTTATCTGGCACCATGCCAGTTTGTAGTGATATGTTGAAAAGATTAGCCAAAGGTGTGCTAAGCTCCTCTTTACATTCCTTTAGAACCCTTGCATACAGTTCATCAGGGCCTGGGGATTTGTTAGGTTTTAATTTATCTATTTGCCTAAGGACCATGTCACTTGTGACCCTAATAGTGCACAGTTTATTATCGTCCTGTTCTACATAATTTATCATTACTGGAATATCGCTGGTATCCTCCTGTGTAAAAACTGAGAGGAAGTATGTGTTAAAATTCTACACATTTCCTTATCACTGTCAGTGAGCTGACCCGAGGAACTTTTGAGTGGGCCTATCTTGTCCCTGATCTTACTTCTGTATACCTGAAAGAATCCTTTTGGGTTAGTCTTCGATTCTCTTGCAACTTTAACCTCATAATCTCTATTTGCTTTTCTAATTCCCTTTTTTATTTCTCTCTTTAACTGAATATATCGATTTCTTAATTGCCCCTCTCCTCTTTTGATTTGCCTATATATGCCTCTCTTTTGACCAATCAGATATTTTAATCTATTGTTCATCCATTTAGGATCATTTTTGTTTGATCTGATTTCCCTATTTGGAACATAATTTGACTGAGCAGCTAGAACTATGCCCTGGAAAGCATCATATCGGCAACCATCACCACCTACCTGACCCCTAGTCAGGTCATTCCAGTTCAGCCCACCTAAGTAATTTTTCAGTCCTATGAAATCAGCCAAGCGAAAGTCAGGGACGGAGACTTTATTGCCATTATTAGGGGAATTCCATGATATGTTAAAACTGAGTGATTTGTGATCACTCTCCCCAAGCTCATCATTAACCTCAAGATTATTAATTAGTGTTTCCCTACTGGCAAGAACCAAGTCAAGGAGGTTATTTCCCCTAGTTGGCTCTGTCACAAACTGTTTTAAAAAACAATCCTGGATCGTATCAAGAAAGTCACCCGACTCTAAATTTCCTGTCAAATTGCTCCAGTCAATCTGTCTATAGTTGAAATCTCCCATTAGCACAACATTTTCGTATGTAGATGCCTACGAATTTCGTCCCATAGAAGTTTACTGCACTCCCTATCAAGATTTGGGCCCTGTAAATCACACCCAAAATTAGTTTTTCTCGGCCTCGAGAAGCTGTAACCAAACAGATTCAGTGGCTGACGCTTCTAATTTAATATCTTGTCTAACACAACAATTTAAATTGTCTCTGACATACATCGCTACTCCACCACCTTTCCTGTTGACCCTGTCAGTGTGGAATAATTTATAGCCTTGTATGTGACATTCAGAGGGCATCTCTCTATCTTTCAGATTGAGCCAGGTCTCTGTTATAGCAATAATATCTATGTTTCCTGCACTTGCAATTAATCTTAGCTCATCTATCTTATTTCTAACACTCCTGCTATTAGTATAGTAAACCTTAAGGGAGCTAGTCCCTTGCTGCCCTCTGCTGTCCCCTTTGTTTGCTGACCTGTTCTATTGTCTTTATTTATAACTTCATGCTGAATGCCTTTTATACATTTACTGTTTCCAACCC